GTCCACACCTGTCCACCTGTCAGACACATGTCCACACCTGTCCACCTGTCAGACACATGTCCACACCTGTCCACCTGTCAGACACATGTCCACACCTGTGCACCTGTCAGACACAGACACATGTCCACATCTGTCCACCTGTCAGACACAGACAAATGTCCACACCTGTCCACCTGTCAGACACATGTCCACACCTGTCCACCTGTCAGACACATGTCCACACATGTCCACACCTGTCCACCTGTCAGACACATGTCCACACATGTCCACACCTGTCCACCTGTCAGACACATGTCCACACCTGTCCACCTGTCTGTCATGCGTCCTAGTCATGTCAGTGATCAGAAGGATCTCAGCTGGTCCAGTGGGAATGTCTCTGTAGTCCACATGGTGTCCCTGATGGACAGAGGCAACGGCCAATCAGAGCTGTCCAGCAGCCTGACCAATCAGAGCGAGGCTGAGGAAGAAAGGATACAGGTAAACCTCAGAGCCAGGTGAGCAATGATGTTGTCCCCTCAGAGCCTGTCAGGACCGTCTCACCTGTCCTGTTTGCAGAGGGACGTCCCAGGCCAGGGACAGACCAGGTCCAAACACCAAGTGAAGCTGATGCAGAAGGTCCCGGGGTCAGCTGAGGCCACCATCGTTCTTGTTGGTAAGAATCTAATCCACAGATCCAGAGATCTGAGGGAAACACAGACGAGGATTTCATCAGAACGTTAGACTAATAATAACAATAACAACAACAACAACAACAACAACAATAATAATAATAATAATAATAATAATAATAATAATTTTTATTCATTCATTTCATTAAAAACTAGAAGCACTCTGAGAGCGCAAAACTCCGCCAAGACCGTTTGTTTCTGTGTGAGAATTTTTGTAGCTCAGTACTCGTGGGTTTAGTGCATCCCTCTGCTGTGTCTACAGGCAGCGTAGGGTTCCTCGACCAGCCCTGCTCAGCGTTTGTGCGTCTGCAGAAGGCAGTCCTGTTGGAGTCCGTCACAGAGGTTCTCATCCCCGTCCGGTTCCTGTTCCTCCTGCTTGGTCCTCCCACGGCCAGCGATTACCAGCAGATAGGACGGTCCATGTCCACCCTTATGTTGGACCAGGTGAGTTCTAAAGTTGTTTTCTTGGATACAACCAGTAGGTGGCACCAGATGACACCATTCTGGGTTCTTCCAGCACTTCCGTGAGGCAGCTTACAAAGCAGAGGACCGTCAGGACCTGCTGACAGCCATAAACCGGTTCCTGGACTGCAGCGTGGTCCTCCCACCCTCTGAAGTCAGTGGTGATGATTGGCTTCACTCAGTCACTCACTTTCAAAAAGAAACTCCTGAAAAAGAGGAGAAGCAGAACAAGAACCAACGAAGTGTCCAGCAGGATGAAGGTCAGTCTCTTTGAATGAAGTCATGATGGACAGAAGAACCCTTGAGGTTCTGCTGAGTGGGTAGAGTCAGGAATCACTGACAGAGATGAACTGTTGTTAAACACTTCAGTCATTTCATGTCTGATTGAGAATTTTGAGCTCAAACTCCAGGTGGCCTTCTTCTCCTCCAGATTCTCTGGTTCCTTTAAAGTCCAACAGTGATCCTCTGAAGCGTTCGGGTCGTCTGTTTGGAGGTCTGATTAAAGACGCGACCCACCGCTACCCACAGTACGTCAGTGACATCCGAGATGCTCTAAACCCTCAGTGCATGGCTGCTGTCATCTTCATCTACTTTGCTGCTCTGTCTCCTGCCATCACCTTTGGTGGACTGCTGGGTACGTCTGAACCTCAGAGGGACATGCTGAGGTAACCTGGAGATCCATGACCTCTGTTCTGTGATGCAGGAGAGAAGACAGAGGGTCTGATTGGTGTGTCTGAGCTGATAGTTGCCACGGCCATGCAGGGGATAGTGTTCAGCGTACTGGGAGCCCAACCTCTGCTGGTGATCGGCTTCTCTGGACCCCTGCTGGTCTTTGAAGAAGCCTTCTTTACTGTGAGTTGACCCATGTCTTACAGCCATGTCTCACAGCATGTCTGACAGCCATGTCTTACAGCCATGTCTCTCACTCATGTATCACAGCCATGTCTCACACTCATGTCTCTCACTCATGTCTCACGCTCATGTCTCACGCTCATGTCTCACGCTCATGTCTCACACTCGTGCAGCAGCATGTGTACTGTTGGTCTCATGTTAGTCAGACAGGTCAGTAAAACCTGTCCGGTCTCTGACTCTGTCCAGTTCTGTAAAGACAATGGGATCGAGTACCTGACGGGTCGGGTTTGGATCGGCTTCTGGCTGGTGCTCCTTGCCATCATCACTGTGGCTTTGGAAGGAAGCATTCTGGTTCGTTTTGTTTCACGCTTTACTCAGGAAATCTTCTCCTTCCTCATCTCCCTCATCTTCATCTACGAGACCTTTGCCAAACTAGTCAAGGTGAGTTCAAAGACCCACGACCCACAAAAACTGATCCCCACTTCTAACTTCTTCTCTGCTGGTTTCTCTTAGATCTTTAAGGAGCATCCGCTGCAAAACTATTCCCATGGAAACGACACAGGGTCTTCGTCCTCGTCCAACATCACCAGCGTCTCTGCCCGTCCTGGACAGCTTGTTGGAGAACCCAACACGGCACTGCTGTCCTTGGTCCTCATGGCAGGAACATATTTCATCGCTTTCTACCTGAGGATGTTCAAAAACAGTTCTTTTTTCCCAGGAAGGGTCAGTACATGCCAGTACCGGTACTGGGACTGGTTTAATCCCAGGAAGTCCTGAAGCCACAGAGCAGCAGAACCAAATGTTGTGGTGCAAAGTAATGGGTCTTTAGAATCTTTAGTCTTAATGTTTTTGTCTACAGAGACCCGAGACAGCAATTGTTCTGATTTGTTTGCTGTAAATAAATGGAATTGAGTTGAATTACCTCTAAGCTGGAGGAATGAGCTCCAGAAGTCCCCCCTGTTGTTGAGTCCCTGGACAGGTTTTTCTAGGACAGGATGTAGGACTTCATCGTGTCCTTCCTGTGTCAGCTGATCAGGAGTGTCTTGTGTTTTAGATCCGGAGGATCATCGGAGACTTTGGTGTTCCCATTGCGATCCTCATCATGGTTTTGGTGGACTACAGTGCAGAGGATACCTACACCCAGGTCAGGAACGAGACCTCTACCTGTAAATTCTGTCAGACCTCAGGGTGACCTGTCCTCTTCTGGACCACAGAAACTCAACGTGCCCAGTGGATTCTCGGTGTCCAGTCCAGACAAGCGGGGATGGCTGATTTCTCCTCTGGGTTTTGATGGACAGTTCCCGGTTTGGATGATGGGTGCCAGCATCCTCCCAGCCATCCTGGTCTTCATCCTCATCTTCATGGAGTCCCAGATCACAGCGTAAAGATCTTTAACTGTGTTCAGCTAAAGCTGGTCTAAACTAAAACTGACCTGTTTGAGTAGTCTTACTCATGAATGAGCCCTATGAAGGATTTCATTTGATATTTTTAACCCTTTATTTAACTTTGAAAGTTTTATACAACCAAAAACATACAATTGGAACAAAAGAACGGTAGATCAGGAGGGGTATTATCTGTATCACAAACATTAATCTGTCTCATGAAGATTGAAAATTCAATCCACTATTCTTATACATTATCCACTTAGTCCAAGATTTTGTGTGGCTCCCTGCATTAGTCCTGAGATAAAAGGTCAGCTTCTCCATGGGGTATATTTCCTCAACAATGTCCATCCACTGGGTGAAGCTCAGAGGATCGTACCTCAGCCAGTTTCTGATAATTACCTTATCGAATGCAATTATCAAGATTTTAAAGAGATGCGCATCTTCAGTCTGAGCTATGGTGTCAGGGATCAAACCCAGGAACATTATTCTCACATCCTTAGTGGTTTTGGTCAAATATATCCTCCAAAGTCCTCAGAATTCTGTCTAATAAAAGTTGCAGTCTTGTACATGACCAAAAAACATGTGAGAGACTGGCATTCATGTTCCCACATCGTCTCTGACATTCATGTTCCCACATCGTCTCCGACATTCATGTTCCCACATCGTCTCCGACA